GCTCCTTCTTTGGAAAGGCGCTCCTGCAGGATTTCAGCAGAGCACACCTCACTCTGCATCCCTAGCACCTTTGTGCTGAGTGTGGCCTAATCCCTTTTGTGAGAACTGTAGCCTCCACCCACTCTGGTTTACCTCCCTGCAGAGCACATGCCACTGTGCACCACAGCAAAGTCCCTTTTATAAACGCGGTGCCTCTCTGTGCAATCCGAGTTTCAGAGGGCAGAGTTTCCTGCTGTTTCACTGCATTTCCGAGATCGGAAGTGGTCCTGGCACACTGTGTCTAATCCATTCTTGTTTCACATGCAAATTCTAATTCTGTGCTCACAGGAACTCTTCCGAGCATGCTGAGATGGGACCAGGGCAGGGTTCTAAATAAACACCTTTGATGGCTGTGCAGCTGGGAGGGATGAGCGGTGGGACTAGGACAGGGTCCCGAATTACCAGCTCTGGTGGCTGCACAGCTCAGAGGGATGAGCCCATCATGGGATCTAAAGAAAGGGACTGAGGGCCAGAAACATGAGTATGGAGCTCTGACCTGTAGCAGACATATACTTGGCAGTAACTAACAAGTGACTATTGAATGGAGGAGCAACCAATCAGCCAGTTGTCTACCTAGTACAACATGGAGATACGAGACCAAGGCTCTCACCTTAACCTTCAGACATTGGACAGCAGTTAAGGGCAACCTGTAGGAAGTGGCAGAGATGCCCAGGCACTTTCTTGATGAATTACTGGGCCAATTCAGAATCTCTGTTACTGAAAGCAGCACTCAGCCTTATAATAGCTTGTCTATAGATGTCCCTCCAAGGCCTCATGCAGTCATGGTAGCTGGGTTTTTCAGAGGTGGCTGAATCTAGAGTTTGTGATTGATTCATGGTGCAATGCTGGGCTTAAGGGTGTGAGTGCTACACCTGCCCTAGGGCAAGTAGCTGGTATATAATATAAGGGACAGAAAGAGTCTGGTCTCACATTCTGGTTGCTTTTACTGACTTCTGCAGCCATAAAGGTTGCTACTCTGTCATGTGCCACCCTGCCTTGGATCCATTGGATTGTGGACTGGAACCTCTACAAACTGTGAGCTAAATAAATCTTTCCTCCTTTAACTTTGAGTGTTGAGTATTTTGTTTCAGAAAAATAAGACATTAACTCTATATAGATAAGAAAAATGCCTGTTCTTTGGCACAGAGTATTGGAATTAATACAGTAATGATAAATAAACTAAAAGATGGGCACTGTGTTATAAGAGCATCAAATTAGATGTGTAAGACCAAGAGGGCAAGTGGGTATTCAGATAGAATATTTCAAGGAGTCAAGAAACTGCAGAAATTAATAAGGCATTGAGTATGGAGCCCAACAGTGAAGAGTGGTGAGCATGAAAAGAAGGAAAGTTAGTTCAACAAAGAAAGTTCAATGCAATGGCATAATTTATTAGTTAATATCTAATATATAGTAATTCCTAATTAACATTATACATCAATAACATACATTCATTATTTATTTTACTCTGAAGCAAATTTCTCAACAGTAACTGCCTTGAGATGACAGTCAAACTTACTAAAGTTGTTTTTTTTTTTTTTGTATTTCAGTTTGGTTCTCTATATTTAAAAAACAAACAAATAAAAGTTCCCCTTACAGAGCACTAACAGTGTCTGCCAAGGATTTCAAAATGCTTTCCACCACGCACGAGAGTTTACATGGATTTTTAGAATGCAGCCAAAGCACAATTCAGTGGCAAAGGAAGCAAAGTCCTGAAGGTGGCTACATGCCTCCGGAGAGGCCAGCTCTGGGAGACTCTGGACTGCAGAGCTGGACCCAACCTGAGCTCAGTGGTGCCTGCAGGGCAGCCAGGTGACAGGGCCCCCACACGAGAGGGGCATCGCTCTACCACTCTGACCACTCCCCTTGACACAGGACCAACATGTGGGCCCAAGGAAATCTGCTGAGGTCCCACTCTCTGGATCCTGGCCTAGTGATACCAGGTGCTTATTATGGAGGGGTGGGCTTTTCGGGATGGCTGCGGCACATCCTGTCCCATAAAGGATGACACACATGTGTGCCTTCCCACCTGATAGTTATCGACTAATCGATTTGCTGTGAATAAGACAGGACACTTGGTTTCTCAGTGGTGATGATTCGTTCAAGCTCAGTCCACATGTGGGAAGACCACTACCTGGAGGAGGGATTCATGGAAGTGCCACACAGGAGTAGAAAGGAACCCAGAGGCTTCCCTTCCCTGACAATCAGCACTATGGTGAGTATGATGTAGCCACGTGATCATTTGGAGCCAACTGTGGTTTTTATACAGATGCCACTCCAAAGCTGCATACACTCAGGCTGGGCTTTGGGAGGGGTGACTGAATTACAGCGGTTGGTATTCAGCAGTGGATTAGCCTGCTAATGAGTCTGTAGCTAAATGTGGTGTTGGGAGGTGAAGCCTGGTTGGAGGGGTGGGGCGTGGTCACCGGGGGCGTGGCCTGGAAGTGTCTAGCTCTCTCCTCCTCCCTTGATCCCTCTCTGCTTCCTGCTCCCCTGCCAGGAGCTGTCTCTCTCTGCCATACCACCCTGCCTTCAAGCCAGTGAAGGATGGACTGCAACTCCTACAAACTGTGAGCCAGAATAAACTTCTTCTCCTTTTAATTTACTGGTGTCAGGGACCGTGTATCAGTGACAAGAAAGTAACTAAGATGGAGACTTTCCATTTTTCAGGACAAGAAAATAGCTGAAAATTTTTCCATTTTTCAGATCTTATAGTGTTACCACGATGATGCTAATTTGCCACCATAGGAATCTGCACTCTTAGACACAACTTGCACAACATGCCACATCCAGACACCATTTCTGGCTTGCTGGGTCCCCCACAAATGATCCTTCCACATCTGAGAGGCAGTGTTAGGCTAGTAAGCAAAAATGGCTGGATAAATAAAAATCTCACTACACAATTTACCTTATTGTTTTCATTTTCCTTACACCTGCCAACAAAAGAAAAAGAGTTTCTGAAATTATAGATCAGAACAATCGTGAAATGGCTCCTTGTCCCATTACAGTAAAGATTATTTTCATACATTTTAGCAAAAGGATTATCTTTAAAGAAGTAGGAAAAAACACTAAGTGATAAAAATCTGGGTAGAGAAGGAGGAAATGGGGAGTTGTTGGCCAAAGGGTACAAAGTTTCTGATTGAAGGAATAACTGTTGCGATCCACTGCACAGTAATATGACTATTCTCAGTAATAATGTATTGTGTATTTTTTTTCAATCGTAGGGATGGAAACCAGGCCTTTTGTGTACTAGGCAAGCACACGACAACTGAGCTATACCTCCGCCCATTCTATATATTTCAAAACAATTAGAAGAGTAAATTTCAAATGCCTTGTGATGAAAAATGATAGGTAAGGAGGTAGATATACTAATTCACTTGATTTAATGAGTAACATTATATATATATGAGACACTGCATTACATTAATGTACACAATTATGATTTGTTAATTAAGAATGTTAATTTATAAATATGAATCTAGAAAAACCTGGGTCCAATATTCATTGAACTCACAACCTCGTGCCTGCCAGGCAGACACTGTGCCACCGAGCTATGTCCTTGGCCTCCAGTTTTTGATAAACTATTACCTTCCTTTGTTCTCTGAAGTTTTCTATTTAACAAAAATATTAATTTTGAAATACTGTTTTATAGCTAATGGGGTATTTATATATTAACCTAATGCCACTGAAAGCTTTTAGATTAAAAATGATTTCTAAACCAAATTCTTTATCAAATCTTATTTTAAGTAACTCCATTATCAGTTCACATTACCTGATAGATTATATAAATAAAATCTGCATACATTTTTATTCTTTCACAGATATTTAATACTGAAAAGAATACACTTCTCTTAATAGTCTGTGCATACCATAAGGGATGGTATGAGTAAAAGAACTCACATTAACTGGCCAGTGCCATAATATTAAGTAAAAGCACCACTTATAATTGATTTACAGTAGATACTCTGACTGTTTGTGAAACAGTAGTCTCTGGAGGGTGCTATTGTTGGAATGCAGTTTTTTCACCCAGGCTCCCTGTGTTGGAGACTTGAGTGAGACTGAGGAGTGTGGAAATATTGGAGGCGAAATCTTTTTAAGTGCGATATGCTGGGAGGGGGGGCATGATGGAAGTCAGGGCATGTTGGGATGTGGGGCATGATGGGAGGTGAGGCATGTTTGGAGATGGGGTATGATGAGAGGTGGGGCATGTTGGGAGGTGGGGCATGGTGATAGATCAGTAGTGTCACCGACTGCTTACCTTTGAAAGGAAGTAAGATATTTCTTATGGAACCCTGGATAGTTTACGGTACAGCACTGTACCTGATTCTACAGTATGGCCTCTCTCATTTCCTGTTTTAAGATGAGACTGCTCACCCACACACTTGCTGTGTCCCTACATCTACTTTGATGTGACACAGTCCAGAGACCCCATCAAAGATAAGCCAATGCAGGGCTCTGCCCTTGAACCCACAAACTGCAAGCTAAGCAGCTTGTTTTCTTCATGTTATCTGCCTCATGTTTCATAATTGCCAATGAAAGCTGATTAGCAGAGCTCTTTATAATGTACATTAACTGTTCTTCGTCATGTGAAAGACAAAAGAGCAGAGACCCTCGTTTCCCCAAACCAACAGAGAACATTCAAAATGCACCAATACACTGTGTTTCTATCACTCCAAGGAATTTCTTCGATCCAGACCATACTTGCTTTTTAACTAGAATAATTTTATATTTACAGAAAGGTTGCAAAGATAATATTGCTTCCCTGGTGTTCTCTTCACCTCCTTTCTCCTTACACTAAAATCTTATGTATTCATGATACTTTATATAAAAATCAGGCAATCAGCTGGTGATGGTTTTCTTCTAACTAAAGCATAGACTTCCTCTGCCTTCACCAGTTTTTCACATGCATCCTTTCTTGTTCTGGAGTCCTGTCCGGAACCCGGTGCCGTGCTCGGCAGCCTCACCTTTTGATCCGTGTCTGCATCCTCATCCTGATACTCATCACAGAGCGGGCTGGGCTGGGCCGCCAAGCAGGGTCCCTGAGAGTAGTACTGAGGGCTCCGGTAGCCATCCCACCTCAGCGTTTCACAGTCTGCAGGGGAGAGAGCAGGGGGAGCATGAGAAGCCCCATTGGCTACTTCCTCTACCTTTTCCAGGAATATTTTCCTAAGACTTCAAAATAATAACAAAGTAATGATAAAACAACTCAAGTACCAACACGCCACGTCAGTACACTGATGGGTTACCGTCAGCACTCACCACAACCCCATGGGTAGAGACTATCTTCAACTACATTCAGGGAACTGAAGGCTAAAGTAATTAAATTATTTGCTTCGCAATGTTACACAAGAAGTAGACTCAGACTTCTAACCCAGGGCTTTACTGACTGCACTGTAATTTTTGACACAAAAACTGATTATGTTATTCCACATTAAAAAAGAAAAAGCAGTTAGTTCTTGGCAGCACCACCAAAACAGCAAAATAAACGAAACCCCAAGTAATATGTGTCTATCAGACTCATCAGGAGAAAATGACATTGATTATAATCCTCTTGTTTTTATCTAGTAATCGATTTTTTCCTCCCTCCCTCGCTCTGTGTGTGCATGTGTACATGTGTGCACGGGTTGATGGGGGTGGAACCCAGGACCCTGTGCATGCTAAGCAACTGCTCCACCACTGAGCCACACCCACAGCCCTCACACATGTAAACACTTTGTGGAGCTTCAAGTGAAGTCGGCTTCCTGGCTGGGGAGTCTGCCCAAAGAATGCCTGGTACCCAAGTGAGAGGCAAGGGGAAATGGGGCCACGGGCCACAGGAAAACCACTCACAGAGGGTCTCTCTAGTGTAGTTAGTGGGTAGGAAAAGTTCTAATGGCATTTATTTATTTATTTTTGGTCTTTTTGAGACAGGGTCTTGCTATGTGGATCGGGCAGGCCTTGAGCTAACTTTGTAGTCCAGGCTGGTCCCGAACTAGCAACTATCCTCTTGCCTCAGCCTCCTAGTGCTGGATTGCAGGCATGCGCCACCACACCTGGCCTCTAATGACTTTTAAAGCACCAAGAGCTTTCCAATTAGTCATGCACATTAAAGGAGGATTCACGTAGCAAAAGGCTTGGGCACACAGTGCCCTTAGATACCCAGCTTCCTAAAGACGCCTAAAATGTGTTTGGTTTTGGAAAAGTTTTCTCTTTCCACAGTTTTACAGAATTATGCACCCAAAGGCACAGAACTAAATTAGAGCATCTTCAGAGTCCTGTCCTATGCAGAACCTGTGATTCTTCCTCAAATAGGAGACAAGCAGTACTTTCTGTGGAGAGAGAAAAACATAGACTAGTTTTTCTAAACCAGGAAATAAAGTCTTTATTCTCTTTTGCTATCTCACAGTGGGAGTGAACAGAGAGTTTCTAATTCAGTACTGCAGGTCAGATTTTTTAAATCCCATGAAAATGGTCAGGAGGATCTATGTCAAGCTAACTGAAAAATAGACACATAATCATAGGATGGCCAAATAGCTCTGCTTCGGTTACTCATGGGTTAAATAATTAGTGGTCTGGCTGGCAACTACTTGTAACTTGACTATAACAGAATTAAATTTTTTTCCTGAACCTTCCAGAATGCAACATATTTTAAAATGTGAATTCATCCATACTAATCTAACCTTTATAAATGAGAAATATTTTTATATTTCTTCCACTTAATGGTTTTTCTGACACAATCAGAATCTATACTCTCACTCTATCAAAATAATATTACAAAAAAAGGACATGATTAGTAGTTTTCAAGTGGCATTCCCTACAGAGTTTTGGGGATTCTATAAATATTTGATTTGAGTTCTTTTGCCTGTCCTAAAGCTAGGATAAAAAAATAACACTCTTGTTCAATAATTTTCCACACCAAACTTTTGCACCAGTGAACTCCTAACTTCCAGTTAGGAGACTCTTTCTTGCCCAGCTTAAATGACAATGCACTGTTTTTCTATCCCAAAGTTCATGTCACAAAAATATTTAAGTAGCATTATAATAATATAGTGCAACAAGTAAAATATAATGCTGGGTCTGCAATTAAACGAATTAGTATAAATTTACAGCAGATGACCAATGTTCTTGCTCTTAACCAAATTTCTGAAGTCTAGTAAACTCATCAAATTCCACTGTCACTTAGTCTAACTCAAGGGAAAATCTAGGAAAACTTCCTCCTCGAGTTGAAACAGATTTCAGTTTCTAAAACCATGGCTTCATTTATTAAAAACTGTATTTATTGTCCTTAGAATGAGACATCAGTAAGAGCAAGCCATCCCGAATAAACAAAGAGTTTTCAAACACAACTCACAAGGGCTGGGGATATGGCTCATTGGCATAAGTGCCTGCCTGACAGGCACAAGGTCCTAAATTTGAATCCTGGTACCAAAAAAAAAAAAAAAAAAAAAGGTGCTCCTTTCAACAGAACATATACAAACACCACCCACAAAGTCACTTCAAGGCAGAGCATAATTTAAAGCCAGCAATGAGAGGCAAGAAAGAAGATCCCAATGTAATAAAGATCTACATTTAACACATACTCTTCTTACAATAGGTATTTACTTAAATTAAAAGTGTGCTATTTTTGTTCTTGCATTATTGTTTGGCTAAAGGTATTACCATTTGTTGAGGTCTCTGATTTCCAAACTACCAAATTTCCCTCCCTTATCATGAAAGGAAAAAAGAAAAAAAACTCTATAGGACGAGGACAATAGACAACCATTTCTTGATAGACCAAAGTTTTAACTACAGAGGAAAAAAGGAAAGTCATAGAACTGGATGGTCACCCAACCATCCCATGCGTTTAATTGGAACCAGTACAAGTTTACGGCAAGAGGCATTAAAAAAGCTGTTTTCAAAATAATTCTCTCTATGGGAAACCCTTATTGAATTTCCCCTTTCTATGTTAGTGTTCCTAAATTTACTTCATTGGTCCCAATCAGCCAGAATAGGTAGAAGTTACAAATCCTTCCAAGAGCTCTTTGAGTTTCTTTTCTCCATAGAGAGAGATACAAGCCGGCAGGGGCTTTGCTCCCTGTGGTCACCTAGAGTGGAGCCAGGCGGAAGTTCTGCCTCTGCTTGAATTGGTGGCCGCGCCCAGTCAAGCCGGGATACAGTGCCACTCACCCTGGCTCCTGGAACTCCCATCAAGGAGCTACTCTAATTTTGCACAGCTACACCTCACCTACCTCCAATGGGGGCAGGAATGTACTTCTGTCTCTTGCACAAGAATGAAAAATTAGAACGTTCCAGAACAGCTGTGATGATGCTCCCAAACAGAGGTCTATATTCAGTGTTTTCCAGATTCTTGTCATCTCGTCACTCAATGCTTACTACTGTATTTCCAGTCCTTCCATGAGGAGGAATTTGCAACAGGGAAAAGCCAGCCTTCTGTTTAACAAGAGGCTAATTATCAACTGCTGTGTAGCACTACTTACTATGCTTGAGGCTTAGAGGAGCGTTCACTCTCTTGGAAACTCAGTGTCTACTCTGTGAAATGAGGTCGCTATTCCTACTGGGGAGATGTAGCAGGGTTCACACCCCAAAGACTTTCAGGCACTCTGCTCTACTCGGGCATCGTTTCACTCTAGGGAGCTTGAACTTTGCACTTGGTCCTCATAAGGCAGGTGCTCAAAACTCAGCAACTGCTGTCAGAATTCAGCACACAAATCCTAGCTACTTGAACCCTTGCATTCTCAAAGCTGGGAATTAGCCAGGGATATAGCTCAGTGGTACAGGGTTGGTCCTGAATTCAATTTCTGGCATACACATAGGCACACACACATAATTAAAGCCAGGAACTAATTCTAGCAAGATCTGTTCGGCTGTACAATGCCTTACGAACACTGTAGTTTTACCAAGTTCGGCCACTTATTCACCTAAATCTCATAGGCTGTGAGCATTTCTTTTCCTAAGGAAACAAGATACTCCTGAGATCCTCTTCTTGTCAATGGCCTGGACCTTTCTAACACTTCTACATAGGAAAGTGATCTAAACAATTCAAATTGATCTAACTTTAGAATTTATAAAGTTGTTTCATACATAACTAATTTTATATGACTAACGCCTCATTCTAAGGAGTAATTTTTGTTGTTGTTGTTACCTTTCTGAGACAGGATTTCTTGATGCAGCTAACTTTCTAGCTCAGAGTGGTCTCGAACTTGCAATGATCCTCCTGCCTCAGCCTGCCAAGTGCTGGGACTACAGGCACGTGCCACCATATCTGGTTTTTAAGGAGTGATTTTATACTAGAAGATTATCAGCCAGGTCTTGGTAAAGGCATTAGCATATAATAACAACTAGAAGCAAGGAAAAACCCAGGGGTAGGGCACACCTGTAATCCCAGCACTCAGGAGGCTAAGGCAGGAGGATCATGCTGAGTTCAAAGCCAGACTAAGCTACGTTGTGAGTTCAAGTCCAAGCCAGTCTTTACTACATAGTGAGACCCTATCTCAAACAAACAAACAGAAGCAAGGAGAGAGAAAATGGAGGTGATCTAATGTGAAAGCATGTAAAACTGTGTTCTCAAAAAGACGCACTGAAGTCCTGGGTCCAGATATCTGTGAATGGTAATAACAGTCTTTCCAGCTATAGCCAGGTTAAATTGAGGCCATTAGAGACACAGGAAGAGGCCCATGTGAAGACAGAGACCAGAGTTACACAAGCCAACACGCGCAGGACCACCAGAAGCTGAAGGAAGCAGAGAAGATTCCTCCCCTGGAGAGTCAGGGAGCCACCACCCCAACTTTAGACTTTTAATCTCTAAGCCTGGATGACAATACACTGCTGTTGTTTTAAATCACCTGGTTTTATAGCATGTCCTGGAGCCCTAGATTCTCAACACGGAATGGAGGCAGGAGATGCTAAGATGCAGGACACACTAGTGAGGAGCTTCTGAGAACTCCCCTCCCCAGTAGGGTTCGCTTCCCCGTAGCCGTCTCAGCATACCACAGAAAGATACTTCAGTGAGACCTGGGCACGGGGGCTGGCCGTGATACTTCAGTGAGACCTGGGCACGGGGGCTGGCCGTGACACTTCAGTGAGTCCTGGGCACGGGGGCTGGCCGTGACACTT